CAAGTTGTAATGACGTCACGCTTGACAACAATACAGAGCGCCATTTTGAATAGGTTTTCACTGCAATTTTGCCATTTACTAGTATTATCTGGTAAGATTTCCAGACAAAAATGATATTAATTCTGTAGTTATGTAAAAACAAAAATGTATGCTGTAAAAGTAGACAACACAACCACCGTCACATCATCTAAACTTGAAACTGAAAATCTACGCAGAGAATATAATGTACGGTTTAGATTGAACAATACTAAGAGTGAAGGTTTTACTTGTGAAGATATTATGTTTCGTTTATCTTCACTGCATTAAAGATATGTTTTATCAAATGGATAATTCATGATATTTCACTAGTAAACTGCAATAAATACCAAACAGTAGGGTTTACTATCATATTATTGTAGACAGTATACGGCCTAAATTTTCAAGAAGGCTTTCACGCATGGGGAAGCACCGGAAGTGGACAAAGTGTTTACAGATCAAACCCCGGCGGCGCTTTGCGCCGTTTGGGGGTCGAAAAAAGGTAATTGGCAGGGTAAGAACATTTACTTTATAAACATGCGACTGTGTAATATATTATGGATACATAGAACAATATACAAAAACAACGTGCGCGTCTTTACATACATGTATTTACTTATGTGTACTATATGTAAATATAGAACCTGAAAATAACCTCAACATCCGGTCTTTTCACACCATAGAGGCGTCGATTACAGCTAAGCCTAATGACAACTCGTTTAAACAACGATTTGCCACCGTCAGTAATGAAAAGTTTCAAAACTTTATGGAAGAGGAAGATTCAATCAATACACAAAAGGCCACAGAAGGAGCCGTTAAGGTGTAAAAACTGCAGGAGAAAAGTTCGTCGTGCGACCTAGACATAATAACACCGTCAGAACTCGACAGCGTTTTGTCAATATTTTATGTAGAGGCCCGGAATAAAAACGGCGAACATTACAACATTACATTTTTTAAGCTTTCTACAAATCAGCCATTGTATAGGCATATTGAGTCAATACTGACTACTGAAAAATAAATAAAACATTGTAACATTAAGTTTAGTCATCGCCGTGTAGATGATAAGTAATAGATACATTGTAATGACCTCAACCTGGACTTTTCCTGAATACACCCAGAGATGAGGGCGTTAGCCCGAATCTCTGGGTTGTATGAAGAAGAAACCCAGGTAGAGGTCATAAATCGACTTAAACCAATTTGCTCCTTTCTTTAAATAAATACCACTTGGAAAATAAATACCAACCGCCACGGTTCACCAGTCACGCACACTTTGCAAGGTGTGGACATATTTTTTCGCCCCGCCTGATTATGGCATAACACGACTGCTCCTTACCGGAAACAGCCGAGATGTCAGGTTGCATTTAACTCTGAATAAAATGTAAACCTTGAATAATCAATTACTGAAAGGATACTACTTCATCAGTTGTTATCGTGATGAAGATTTCTATTACTGAGCTGATTTCTTTTCGACTGGCAGTATTAAGGTCGAGTTCGATCCCAATTATTATTGTTCATTTCTTTTTTTGTGTTTTTGTTTGTTTTACAACAATTCTATTTGTGGAAACCTTTTGTTGAATAGGACATGATAGCATACAAGCAACGATTTATATTTATCTTCAATTTAAGATGCAAATATATCTGACTGCAGCCTCATATCAATGGTAATAGGGCATATCCAAAACAATTGTTTAGTCTTTGATGTGTGCGGCATGTTAAAAAGGTAATTTAGCAGTAAAAAAAAAATCCGATCTGATTAAATTGTTAAATAACGAAAAGAAACATAACTATGTTATGAATTTCAAATGGTGATATGTTATAAAAAGCATGATATAAGTGTTCTTTAGAGATATTAACTCAATGAAATAACAGGTTCATCAAGGATTTTTGAAAGGAGAAATTTGCTTCAGAAGGAATATATTTCTCTTTTCGCAGCTAAGAAGGACATGAATTGAACTGAGTATGATTTGATGGCTCTGAGTATAAACAGATCATATATATTTGAGACCGAATCAGCAGCCGATGTTAGCTCCTATGACACCATTTTTGCTATGAAGCATTTAAATCACATTAGGTGACAAGGAAAACGATGAAAAAATTAAACTTATTATTATGATTAAAATACAATAAAATTTACTACTTTCTATTGTTTTGTGTTCTTTTGAATTTTATGTTCAGTTTTTATATAGTGGTGAAATGTGTAGTCTGTTATGTCATCTATCTATTCGGGCCTTTGTATAAATAATGCCCACCTACATTAAGTGACATGAAATACCCATTGTGTTTATAGTGCCCAGTTTTGGACATCAACTTAAATGCTATTGTGTTAATAAAGTTCTTTGTGAACATATTACACACTGCGTCCACGGCATGAACATACAGGAACATTATGAGAGATAATGTACGTTACAAACAATAGAGCACTGGTTTAACATCAACAAACATAGCACAACCACAATATTTGGATAGGGTTACACCTACAATGTAAATATTTAAAGCAGTTCATATTTTCTTTACGGATATGTTTTAGGGATAACCCTACTTATTTTGAGATTTGCAGCGG